AATTCACCTACGTTGATTGTATGAATAACGTAGTAGTGACGTCACAAAACGTGCCGAGTTCAAGGGGAACCTTCTGTTTAATAGCTATGAAATACGTAAGGAAACGACGAAATTAAATTTCTAACTTTATAATACTTTTAGTGTAAATTTAGTATGAGTACTCTTAATAAGATAATATTTAAATAACAAGAAATAGAAGTTAAAATGTTACCAAACCGATTTCGAGTTAGTTTTATACAACAAGCTGTTTCCGTGCGGCTTCATCCGCATGTAATAATAAAAACTTTATTTATTGTTTACATTTGTCAAATTCACAATTGCAAATATCAAGATTACCGATACCATAATAACCTTGCTTTCTTAATGTTGGCAGCTTGTAGCTTATAGTTCCTTTTCCACAAAGTTTTTTCAATTTATTTAGCCCCTACGTTTAATAGCGTGAAAATATATAACCTAAACCGTATCGTAAGTGTAGGGCTTTTTATTCAAGGAAGAATTATTCAAAAACATGCTGTGATTGCTGACATCCTACGCCACAAAGTAGTGTGTGTTTACGCTTTATTTTATTAGTATAGAGTATAGATATAGATGAACGGTTTCAAAGCGTAAGATGGATCGAAATCGATGGTAGCAATAATTTTCATATGTAAACAAAATGTTACCTCGACGATACTTTGTATGTTTAAGGTGTGCAACTTAAACAAACTAACTACATACACTACATAAACTAAGCTACATACATTTGCACAGATTAAACTTATTGGCCTTGTATGTAACTTGAGCTTGGCTTTACGCCGGTTCCATGGAGACTCGAGGTTTGTTTGAACAACAAACTTTACGTAAATATATTTGCGAATATATTTCAGTTATGATTCGTTCATTTGGTTATATAGTGGCTGTTTATAAATATAAACAAAACACTTCTACATTATTCATGCTTTGGGGTCATGGCAGCTAAGAATGTATAAATTCCTTGCTCATCAAACTCATCAAAAAATATCTACATAAGTATACAGTTATATTCTAACTAAGAATATAGTTATCCTGACATGGGTAGACTTCCATCAGATTCTTTATTTCAACACTTTCTACCCAGGTCCATGTCGTCGTCTTAATGCGTGCGAAACTGACTGTAGCTTTAAGGTGGAATACTGCCAAATTCCCCGACTGTACTCATTTTGTTCGGCGCAAAGATCTCGAATTGCCCACGCGCTGAGCGTTCGTTGTATCAAGCATGCTTGACTTTTTCTGATGTAGAAAATATTGGCCCTGCGTGGTTTAAACTTATTGAACATTTGCTCCAATAATTTTTGTTACAATACAGTTTAGAAAAAAGATGAAACACTAAAACGTCTTGAAAAACTGGTGCTTTAACGATATAAAATTCATGAAACGGTACGGTTAAGGAATCGATTCTCAGCAAAACTGTGTTTGAGCTTGAATTCGTTTTGCTTTAAAATATTTTATTGATCTTTGCACATGCATTACATTGGAGAAGAGAAGGCAAGGACAGAAGCGTGTCTTTGTGTTATTCTGATAATTTTTATACTAAATATATAAACATAAATTGAAAAGACATGCATATCACACACCAAGTTACCAAGTGAAAGTCAAGTGTTTAGTAAATTATGATAAATGACCACAATGGTACATTGAGTATCTAAATATTTATGTTTATTAGTAACTATTTTCTATCATTACAAACGTTAACTACACTAATTAGATACACATGTTGTAAGTTATATTAAAGAAAAGTTTACTGATTCTTAAAATATTATTCTAGGATCTAAGACAGTTTGGTTCCTTCTTGCATTTTAAAGATAATATCTAAAGACAAAGCAATCTAACACACAATACTATACTAAGAACGAGTCGAAATGACCACGGCAACGACCAACGACAGCGATACTGGAAAGGCTCGTAAGCGACATGAGTCAGAATGTAGGCAACTTAGCTCGCTTACCTGCACAAAACAGCAGCAAAGTAAACGGTGAAAGCAACCGGTTGAACTCCATGTTGATACAGCAGAAACTTTCTAGTCACTTCTTGTCAAATAACAAATCCTAAGCTCCCATCTTCTTACACATTTTTTGTTTTTATTTACTTTAAAACTTCTTATCTTCGACTTAACCGTTACACACGCGACGAAATTGTTGAATACGTTTCCACTAGTAAAAACCAACTAAAAACCTGTGTTACGACTAATTATTCGTCTAATAAGTCACGTTAACTACACTTTAGATAGGTATTATGTGTCATTTTGAGTTTCACAAAGTAAAGTTTCGCGCGAACAAAAATGAATTGCAGCGACACGCGTTACTACAGAGCAACGGTTCGTACAAAGCTGGAAGACTGAATAAAAACCGGTTTCTAGTGTTGCCTGTTGATTTTCCAGCTTACCCCTAAAATGTTTGCAGTCGTACAGTGATACCATTTAAATTTAAATTATTTACTTTTTCTTTTGCACCTTTTCTGATTTAATAATTACACATATGTTGAGATATCCATAACTTTTGATTTTCATTATTTAAAAGTAATCAATAGAATGTTATCGTCACAAATATGGCCGATGTATTATGTTATTACTAGTTTGTTTTTTATTTATCTCTATCATAAGGAAGTTGTTGTAATAAAATTAATAACTTAATACTAAATGTTATGTAGTGGATCCATGTTTACATAACTTAAAAATAAAATCAAAACACTAAACATAACATTTTGTGCGCACACATTAAAATGTGAAGTTTTAACAATAACTTGGGAAATTATTTATTCATAGCAACACCACCGACGCGATGATGGAAGGAGACAGAATACTGTTGCCTTGTTGCGTCTATGTTCCTTTCCCGCTCTAACTTATTCAAGTAAGTTTTGTTCCGCTAACCTGCTTTGTCTACCTTAAAATATTTTACGATTTTATGCACTTACACGTTGTACAGAAGTTATTCTAGATTATGAATTAAATACAGAAAAAACTGAGATGAACAATAATAACTAGTTCTTTACTCAATTATCTTTTATGTGTTTAATTCAATTTAATTTAACATTTGCTTTTTTTTACCAATGGTTCCGAAATGAAAAAGGTTAGCTGTGGTCGAGAGCTAACCTTTTCCTTGTTCTATTTAGCGTCAGTTGGTAAAGTAGCAAACATTTTATTTTACTTATATTTTCATTTGGTTTGGAATCTTTTATTGTGCAGACATATAAAAACACCTTTTAAAGCTTATTAAGTATGTTTTATTATTCATTAGACATCGTAAATACATAGTTTCATGATCCAGCGAACGATTCTAATGCCGTCACACATGTACAAAATCATTATTAGCAATCTCTGTTTTTCCTGAGATAATGAAAGGGTTGGAAATATGTTTTCTATACGTGTTTCGACAACGAAAAAATCTTGCTTAGTGTTATGTAAAGAATACTTAACTGTCACTTAAAAGTCATTAAGTTCGTTGCGCATTCTCTGCTATTTCTGTAATCATTTATTTAGTACATACATATGTCTATGTCACAGGGATCTTAATAAAAATAGTTAATCAAAGTACATAGATAAAAAAAAATTGCACCAGCTCTCGTTAAGCAATATAAATAACCCTTATGTGTTAACAACAACCGACATTATGGGAACGTAATTAAATTACGAGTGGTCCCTTTGACTGGTAACTGATCTTAATAAAGGCGTAATAGTTATTCGACGGAGGGTGGGTCCGGTGCGCAATTTCAGTGATTACTGGGGATGCGCGAATCACATTGCCTTAGGCGCGTGCCGACTGCCGACCCCACTAAAGCACTGGCGTGGCGTCTTGCTGGTCTAAAACTTCGACCCCTCCCTTTTATCATTCTGTATCAAATTGGCCAAATTTATGCAAGTGCCGTCTGTGTCCCGAACCCCACTAAAAAGCGCATCAAATGTCTATATTGAGGAGGGGTGGTCGTATTTGAATAATAGATTACTGATAGCAATATTTCGCTTGACGGATTAGAATGTTAACAAAACGCTTTTGTATTGTCGTAAGACGATTTTAAAATATCGAATTGTTTCAGTTAAAACTATGGATTAAAAAAGACATCGGTAAAAGATTAGCCATTTCTTACTATATCAGTTGTGTTTGAGATTTGAGAGATTTATTTTACATTTAAAATAAAAATTCGTAGAATTTAAAAAACAGCTTAATTGACGATACTAGAGCCATAAACTGTCGTTATACTCTTTTTCACGTTGACTTATTTCTATTTTTTTTAAATATCAATGTAATAACGACTGAATTATGCAAAGTAAACATCGATGAAAGGAATATGTTCTAAGGATCTGAGTATTTTACGACAAGTGATAATAATTCACACGTTTATCCCCCAGCGCAGTTTGCTCTCTTCGAAACAACTTCAATCTAATCTTTTTATCACATGAATGATTTTAATATTGTGTACCTACATTATCCATATTTCTGAACAGTTGCCCGATCCTATCCCTCCCTATTCCCTAATATTAGAAGATTGTGAGAGGGGAATGAGTTGTCGATATGCGCAAAACACGGCTCACCCCAAGTTTTAACGAGACGGGCATGCCTAGGGTGCTCTGTCTACATTCATTGTTTACTTTGTACTGCCTATCTCTACATTCTAATACATTTCCAACGTTATAATGAAAACATTACATTATTTTAATGAAAATCTTCCAATGTTAGAATGTATGCATAACAGTGAATTGTAATAATACAAGGGAAAATGTTTAGTCAGTCGATTGTTTCACTCGCAATTCACAGGAGCCATTTAAATCACCGCTCTATGATTTTACTTATAAAAAGGAAAAATAATAAATTCATCTTAGAAATTATATGTGCCTAAGGATGTGTACAAAAGTAAATCTTTGTAGAAATGCATCTAGTATGGTTTGTTACCGAAATAAGTTCTCAAATTTAAATTTGTTCTCCCTTTCTTAACTTCTCGTTTTAAGGTTTTTCTAACTTTGTTGTGGATCTTTCTAGATATTATATCAGTATACTGTCAACTGTTAACACGAAAGGTGATTACAAACTACCAAATCATCTACATTTAAGACATAAAGTAACTATAAAGCTAGATTATGCACAGTATATAAGGATAATACATAGGTATAAGTATAAGACCGTAACAATATGAAATATTACGAATTTATTGTCGAAAACAAATACGATAGAGAAGGGAGAAAAGGAAAAATATTCCCAATTGAAATGATCAATGATCTGGGAAAGCAGTCGAGTGAAACTTTAACGTACTCCCCCATGAGGGAAATTGTTATTGTCTACGCCCCAGCGAGGTGTTTTTTTAGGGAACACCGCAACAGATAAATTGCCTCTAGCGACGCGTAAAAAGCAATGAAAGCATTTTCATTCCTCCGGCACCCCTTTGTTCCCTGCGGAATGCTGAACTGTATCTACAAGCAGAGCAACCCCAAGGGTGTCGGTCCCATTTGTGGGGTATTTTATGAAATGTTGATTGAATAAGAAATCGATCTAAACTACGATATTGTGGAAGATATCTTTTTATGTCTGGTAACTAGTAAATGTATAAAGGATTTGGATTTTGCCAAGTGCTGATACCTAAATTAGAAAATAGGCCAATTTCCCATCAAAAACTAAACAATTTCCGTATCATCTTTTTCTTTTATCTGGTAAAGTTATAGGTTTATTGCATGTCTCAATTTAGATAGCTCTTATCGCTCGCTAATAAGATAATAATCGTCAAAGAGTAGTTTTATAATCGTTGAAACGACAACTTCTATGTTCACGTTTTGTTCAAAGTCCTAATTAAACAGACACTAAGCGTCACATTGTCAAGAAAAACCGTCACAATGGGTTCCGCTCTGTAGCTCTCATGTAGTGTTGTGTAGAGTATATTTATAATTAGTAAGTACATAACATGTTATATTTATTTAACTTAGTAAAACACAATAGTAATATAGAAGTATTGTTGTTTACATAGTAATAAGACTTTTTAATACAAGTATAGTTCTTTAAAATATATTTATGTTTCACTCTTGTGGATTGGCTTATTAGCACTGACCTTTGATTATTCTATGACTCATCTCCGTGGATTTATATGTAAATGGTTATATCTACATAACACAGTTCTAACTTCAGTACGATTTTGTAAATATATTAATAATTACAAAAAACTAACAAAGTAATACATTAATGTGCTGCAAACATTGCCATTTACAAAATATGTAGGAATTCAACGTAACATACATATAAATATACATTGCGTAAATTTAATTAACTGATCAAAAACTATATCAACATTGCTGCATTTTATTACACCTTATATGCTTATTCTTTTCATTTTCTTGATTTATAACCTTTAATTAAATTAAATGAAATCTTTTTACATTGACTTTTACGATTTCAAACGTTTCTGTTTATAATTTTGAGGTTAAGTTTATTATTTAAATAAATACATAATAACAGAATATTCTTGTTGAAGTTATTTCAATACGTAACGCATTGTTGGCAATTATTCAATAGTAATTTTATTTTCAGCTATAGTTTCACAATGGTAACTGTTACAATTAATCAAGGTGATCTAAGCGGTGTGTTGTGTAAGAGCGGCAATGTGGAATATTATGCGTTTAAAGGTATTCCGTACGCACAGCCACCGATTGGGCCATTACGATTCAAGGTGAGTGTATAGGATACATAACACTGCAGAGAATTTGCAGTTATGTTTTCAGTTTTGTGCGAAAATTCCCTTTATGGGCATAGGCATCGCTGGGGGGCAGCTGCGCCCCTTGACGAAAATTTAATATAGTTCTAGCCCCCCTTCTCCTGATCTGGCGACGGCTATGCATTTATGTTAATGTAATTCAAATAGTAGGATCTTTAAAATTTTACAGTATGATGTTTTAGTGTATTTTTTTTTAAATTTAAATATATCAAGCTATGTCGCTTCATCATTTCGCAGATTATACCAAAATACTATACAAAGGTAATCATCAATTATTTTACGTAGCATTGCACAAAATATACACATTCTTCTACAAATTAATACGTACCAAAACGTCCTTGTTGCAATTTTTTGGGAAACGTGATCATGTAGTCGTGCAGCCATGAGATAAGAAACTTACAATGGCGTGTCATGCGAGCCAAACGACCACGTGAGTGCAATAGCTAATTGCTTGCTGGCTCCCTCTGCAGCGGCGCGGCGCGGGACGGCGGGGAACCGGTTGAATTTGATATGCGACATCCGACACTCTTATAGCTAACATACCTTGCTACGCAAGTCCCGTACCATTATACTATTTAGTAAAGAATCTTGCTAATACATTAGATTTATTCCCTCTAATTATGCCCTTAAGAATTTCCCTAATTTCCCCAGGCACCTGAGCCGCCGCTACCTTGGATTGGGGTACGAGATGCATCGCAACACGGGCCTGTTTGTCCGCAGTACAACGAACGTTTAGACCGCATAGAGGCCGGCAGCGAAGACTGTCTCTACATAAACGTATACTCGAAATCGTTAACACCTCTCCAACCGCTGCCAGTTCTTGTATGGATCCACGGAGGAGGATTTTATACGGGTTCAGGAAATTCAGACTTTTACGGACCAGAATTCTTCATGGAGCAAAATGTCGTCCTTGTCACATTCAACTACAGACTGGAAGTTCTAGGTTTCCTTTGTCTCGATAACGAAGACGTTCCTGGCAATGCCGGCTTGAAGGACCAAGTGATGGCTTTGAAATGGGTCAAAAACAATATATCTGCTTTTGGAGGCGACCCAGGCAACGTCACAATATTCGGATGCAGCGCCGGTGCGGCCTCCACGAGTTACCATTTGACGTCTAAAATGAGTGAAGGTTTATTTAACAAGGCTATATGTCAGAGTGGTGTGTGTTTAAATGAATGGGGTTACAATTTATACGCTAAAAAGCGTGCATTCCAACTGGGGAAGTTACTTGGCAAAGAAACCACAGATGAGGTTGAACTCCTAGATTTTTTAAATCAACTTCCAACATCCTCTTTAGTCAATATTCGTTTACCCGCTCTTGATGTGGAGCATAGAGATATAGCCGATAGTATTTACTTCGGTCCTGTGATAGAAAAATCTAATTTAAAAGTAGAGAAATTTATAACAGAACCACCTTTTGAATCGATGAAAAGTGGAAGAGTTGCTGATGTGCCAATTATAGTTGGATATACATCAGCAGAGGGAATTGAAACGGCAAGAAAAATTAACGACTTAATAAAATTTCTATCTAAAGTGGGTTCTGTTATACCAAGAGAAATCAAACTTAAAGTTAATCCAGACGTACTTAAAAACATTGATCAGAAAATACGTAACAAATATTTCAATGGCAATCCAATAACAAAGGATATGTTGCAAGAATTAACTGATCTTCACACATACAGTTTATTTACTTACAATATTTACAGATTTGCAAAGTTTTGTGCAAAGATTAATTCTAGTCCCGTATATTTGTACAAATTTGCTGCTGAAACGGAACGAAATATTGCAAAAGGAAATTACAAGATGAATCACTTGAAAGGTGTTTGCCACGCAGATGAGTTACCATATTTATTCAATGTTACTTGCCTTGACATTCCATTAACTGATTCCATGCCTTTAATAAAAGAAATTGTTGGTTTGTGGACTACTTTCGCGCATAGCGGGTAGGTGTAAATGTTAATATTTATTAAACATTACCATAGTTCAAATTAATAAAAATAAAATAATCTCTAATAAATTAAATTACAGGAACCCGACAGAATCAAGAAATATAACATGGAAACCATATTCTAGTAAAACAAAGAACTGTTTTGTAATAAATAAAACATTTGTTTGTAGTGAAGGCCCAGACTCCGATCACATTAACTTCTGGGAAGAAATATACGCAAATGTGGACGGAGATACTAAATGTAATATTTGACATGAAATAAAAATAATAATTTACTAATGAAATAATAGAAAATTATGAATTACCCTAATTAATGTTTTTCGTCCTTACCTTTTAAAAATTATCTTATTTTAGAATTAATGTTTCCAATGATCGAAAACTTCGTATTGTCAAATTAATAACTTTTTTTCTATTAAAAACTTTTACTGTTAAGTTTTAAAAAAATCTAATAAAACATGTACTTATGTATGAAAAAATAACAATATAAGTAATTTGAATTTATGGTAATGAAAGAAAACTATATAGGAATGCTTATAATTATATTTAAAAGTCGATCTCTTAGAAATATATTAAAATTACTCCCATAACGCCTGCATTTCCATACAATGATAATGGACAAATTTATACAAAAATATTATTTTTATATTGCAAGTACATACTAAAACACACTACAAATTATTTTATTAGAATAACCGTGGGATGTTTTTACTGTAACATATTTATCATTTATGTTCTCTCACTGTAACTATAATAATGAAAGAAACATGATATAGGTGACATTTATTTAGATTTATATATATGTATGATATAATGATAATTTAAATGTAATATAAAAATTTACACCAATTTTCAAATTCCAACCATATTCATGAAAAATTATTTAACCTCGGAATATGAAGGTTTTCACATTTTATTTTTAGACACAAAAAGTTAACTAATCGTATAACTTCAGCTATACTTGCCATGTGTATAGAAATGCAATAGTGGCGCTAGTGTGGTCCACTACCGATGAGTGTTGCCAGGTGGCGGCTAGCCAGTGTTGCTA